TTACCGTCAAGATAATTCTCTATTGAATTTTACTTCTCTGGTCTTTCATTTTAAATTATCAGGCAGTAAGCATATATTGTTTGATTTATAAAATATAAGATCATGTGCACAAGTTTTCGTTAATATAATTCACATTAAATACTATTTTGTTGGTTCTTTATTTGGTTAAATTACCAGCACGTAAGTATATAGTTTATTCATAAAAGAATGTACACATTATATCGTCAATAGAGTTCTCTTTTAAATATTTTCTGTTCTTCCACTTTAAAAATTCCAGTTCGTAAGTATATTGTTTATTATAAATGATATACGCATTTTATCATTAATAGAATTCTTTATTGAATATTATTTTCTGCACCTTATTCACATGTTAAATTATCAGTTAGTAAGCATATAGTTTATTCATAAAATCATGTATACATTATATAGTTAATAGAATTCTCTATTAAATATTACTTTTCCATTCTTTATGCTTTAAATCACCAGTGTGTAATTATATAGTTTATTCATAAAATAATTTTATAGTTAATAGAATTCTCTATTAAATATTACTTCTCCATTCTTTTTTACCAGTGTGTAAGTATATAGTTTATTCGTACATACTTTATTGTCAATAGAATTTCTTTATTAAATATTACTTCTCTGTTTCTTACGTGTTAAATTACCAGTAAGTAAGTATATGTAATTTATCATAAAAAATTTGTAGTCAATAGAATTCTTTATTAAATATTACATCTTTTTTTTCACTTTAAAAAAATACCGGGAAGCAAGTGCATGGTTATTCATAAAATAATGAGCTTATTTTATAATCAATAGAATTTTCTATTAAATATCACTTCTCTTTTTTTCACTTTAAATTATCAGGGCGTAAGTATCTAGTTTATTCATAAAATAATGTACATATTTATTGTCATTAGAATTCTCTATTCAATCTTGCTTATGTATTAAAAATCACATTCACCAGTTTGTAAGTGTATAGTTTATTACATATTTTTCAGTGGAATTCTTTATTAAATATTACTTCTGTTCTTTCATTTTAAACTACCAGTTCGTAAGTATATAGTTTATTCAAAAAATATTATAAATGTTTTGTCATTAATAGAATTCAATATCTATTAATTATTGTTTCTCCGTTCTTTCACATTAAATAACCATGGATAAAAGAGTTCAAGACCTCGAAACTTGTACTTCCGGATTAGGTGAATCCTAACCTAGTTTGTTTTGCAAATTAACAATTTTGGTCTTCAACTAAAGTTATATATTAATTTGAACTAGAAACCTATTGGCAACCAGAGGATCCTATGGATATCGAGGTACTGTTTCCTTAATAATTTGATCTATCTTCGTATTAGAAATAATAATTATTGTTTTTTTCTAGAGTCAGAATAAAACAATTTGCTTCAATAATCCGAGTTTCGATAATAACTCATCCATTAATCATGATGTAAATAAAGCACTCGTCAAGTAAGTAGAAACAAGTTGTGCCAGTCAATCATTGTAGTCATTTTCAATTTATCTGATATTCCTAATCCATATTGAATACTTCAGATCAAGTTCGATAGTAGTCAGTGTTGATTCTGGTGCGAATGTTGATGGTATCGATATTTTTAGTCAAATAAAGTTTCCTAAACCTTCTGTTATCATTAACAATGGTAATTCCGGTAATTCTATATACTAGTTAATCTTTGCTTTTGGATTGACATTGATTGTAAACCTATTGCTATTTAGAATTCGTCTCTATAAACTCGACCGTATCTCCTGGAACATCATCTACTGCATGTGTTGAAGTTGAACGGATTCTCTCATTGTTAGAAAAACATAAAAATGATATTGAACGTATACTAGACTCACAAAATGTATATGCTATAGGTCCTGAATTTCAGCAAGGTTGTACTATACCTTGTATTGCTTGTTGGGTCAATGAGACTCTGAGCGAGATAGTTATTGAAGAGCTTTCAAATATCTTTGACAATGAATTTGAAATTGTAGTGATACTTCTGAATACAGATGACAGCAATAGTTTTAACTATAAATCTTCAAATAATTTATCAGTTAGCTCACAACAATCAGACGATAAAAATGAATCTGAAGATAAAAGAAATGGGGATGATAACGAGCAAAATGATAGAAAAGATGATGAAAGAGATCATAATAAAAAAAACAATCATGAAGACGAAGAATCAAATGAAAAAAATTGTGATGAAGGCGGTGAAAAAAATGGTGACAGAGGCAGTAGAAAAAACGGTAAGGGAA